TGTAAGGTATGGAATTAAGTTTACTTTTTCACCTGTGGATATCCAGTTGTTTCAGTACCATTTGTTGAAAACTCTGCCAAATTTGGGGGAGAATTTTCTAATCAGTGAAATCCAGAGGTCTGGGAATTATGGTTCTTGGCACATGAATCTCTTCCCTTTTGTGAATGCGTATTGTTCTCTGGTGCTTCGGGCAGCCTGGCTTTCTGTTTATTTACATGTGTGTCTTTGCCTCCGATGGCAGGGTTGCTGTCACTGGATGGCAGGCAGGAGGGCCTAGGTAATACTCACTTAGATGCCTGAGGAGACGCCTCCTTCCCTGTGGCCACACAGACCTCCAGCCACGAAGACTTCATGGGTTACTGACGGTGGATTCTGGGCTGTGTCTCATTTCCAGAGTGACCGTGGAGGCCTGCCAGAGCCGAGGTGAAGGGACAGTGAACCTCCTGTGCCCAGGTGGGTGAGGTGGCATTTAGGCAAGGGACCTGGCTGTGGCCATAGAAGGTGGGAGGGGCCATTCCTCATTCCTGGCAGTGGTATTAGACCCAGAACGCGGCTCTGGCTCTGAGCAGTCTCCGTGTCTGTTAGAGGTGGGCAGCTTCCAGAAGGCAGGAGATCTCCACAACTGCTGGGCCTTCAGTGTTAGCCCTTTGCATGCTGCTGCACCTCACGGTGCTGGCGCTGCTCTCCTGAGCACTTTCTGTGTATCACTCAGTCCATTTCACAGACAAGGGCACTGAGGCTCAGAGCAGGGAACCACATAAGTCTTTGGACTGTGCTTTTCATTATTGAAGATCGATGAGTAGATTTGGTTTAACAGTTTTTATTACCTCTTCTACCAGATTGGAAGGGTGGTTTACATGGCTCTCGTGAGTGTTCATTTCCTTATAGCAGCACAGAGAGGTCAGACCGATTATGGATTAAATTTCTTCAGAAATTCCTCGTGGCAGTCACAGTGTGATCCCAAACTTTTGGTTTGGCTTCTGTTTACTGAATTTCATTTGTTTCTCCCTCGGAATGTGCTTCTCGTAAATTCTGTTGTCTGCTGTGGCTACTCTTTTTTTTCTTCTTCTTCTGCTCCTCCTCTTTCTCCTCCTCCTGCTCCTCCTCCTGCTCCTGCTCCTTTTCTTCCTCCCCCCCCCCCCGCCTGCTCTGCTTGTTGAACTCCTACTCATTCTTCAAAACCCAGCTATTTTTCACCTTCCCTTCCTCCCAGGCGCATTGCATTCTAGCCTGCAGAGTGCATGGTCTACACTTGTCCCTATGTGTCTTACTGAAGTATGACTGACTACCTGTTTGTGTTCTCTAACGAGGTGGAGAGCTAGAGCAGGGATTGCCTTTTCTTTTCTTCTTTATTTGTAGTGGGGATTGAATTTAAAACCTTACCGTGTTAGGCATGTGCTCTACTACTGAGGAAAAAAAAAGCTATATAAAGACTCAAAGACTCAAAGACTCAAGACTCAAACAGATCAATACTCATAAAAATGATATGACTTATTTATTTTTGCAGTACTGAGGATTGAGTCCAGGGACTTTTCACTGAGGTATATCCCCAGCTCCTTTAAAAATATTTTTTATTTTGAGACAGGGTGTCATTAAGTCTCTAAGTTGCCTGGGTTGGGCTAGAACTTGCGCTATCCCTGGCTCAGCCTACCAGAGTGGTGGGGTTAGAGGTGTGCGCCAACGCACCTGACTCCCCCTTTGATTTTGTTTTATTATTGTGACACAGTCTTGCAGATTTACTCAGGCTGGCCTTGAATTTGCGATCTTCTTGCTTTAGCCTCCCTAGTAGCTAGGATTATAGGCATGTACCAATGAGTGCCTTTTTATTGGAATCCAGGTTTTAGCTGTGTACTGGCATATCATAGATGGGAGACATTTGTAGGATGAATAAATGCACACAGATACCATGAAGACTATCTAGTTCTAAGCCATATCAATTTTTGAGTAATGATCTGATTCTTGAACTGTCTTCTTACATGGCTTACATAATCTTTTTTCCTCTTTGAGAAGAATTCTGTTTCTTTATGGATTTATGTTTCCACTCCATTTGTCTGTCATAATTTTTATGGTAGACTCAGATAATAATTTGAGATTTTTTTTTTGGTACCAGGGATCAAACTCAGGTCCTTGTGCTTGCGCAGCAGGCGGCAAAACCACTGAGCTAAATCCCCTGCCCAATAATTTGAGATTTTGAAGTGTTCTTTGGAATGTGCAGACTGTAACTTCCATATATCAAAATGAATCAAGTTTAGTGTCTCTGAAGGAACCTTGGTGAGCAACACTAACTGAACTACCTTTAGCTGAGAGAGCTATTTAGAAATGTTTTGCTGGGTTTCTCGCTGAAGTCGGCATACTGGCCACTGTGTGATTTTATTCTTGAGCTACTGTAGTTCAGGGAGCAGTTAGATTTCTGTCCAGTGGACCCTGAGGTGCATGGTGATGGGCTGAGATTTGAACCTTCGAACCAAATTTTCAATTCCTTGCATAGTGTATTTCTCCTTTAATTCCTAGGAGTCAGGATTAATGTCTCCCTTGTTTGCTTTTATCCTTGAGAAGGGCAGAGGGAGGTAGGGAAATAGATGATTGAGTTGTATCTTCATGAAAATGAATTTAGGTTTTTTTGAGTGGGGGGGCATGTGTGGACACATTCCTGCCCTTTTAGGCTGAGTGTCCCTCTGGGGAGTGCCCTTGTTCTGGTGAGATCTTGACCTTGAGGGGACTTGGCAGTGACCGTGGATGCAAAATGCTTGGAGACTATCTTCTCCCTGTTTTTGATGCTCAGGTCACACTTAAATTTCCTGAAGCATTTTTCTTCCAGTTCTTTGGCAACCAGTATTTTGATAGTGAATATACTGTAGTTCCTCTGAACACGGAGGTGCATGCGTAGTAGTCATTCCTGGACTCCATGTGAGGTGTCTCAGGCTACCATAGTGGGTGGCCAGTGAGGTCCCTCATGAAAAGCCAGCTGTGTTTAGGGGTGTTGTCTAGGGCCTTGAGAAGTGTTCTTTGGGGGAAGTTCAGTAGCTGTATGACAACAGTGCTGACCCATGTGTGAGCATTGTCGTGTGGCAGGTTCTTTACATGCCTTATGTCTAATTCTTGCCGTAGCTCTGCAAGGTCAGTGTTGTCGATGCACACGTAATGAAAATGGAGGCTCTGAGAAGTAGTGCAGTGTTTGTTCAAAGTCACATAAACTAGTGAGTGATAGACTCAGGATTTGAATGCGGATTAGTCTCAGTGTGTTGTGTACAGGATTGGACCCATCTGCCCCTCCTGGCATGGAAAAAGTCTTTACTTGATAACTAAGTGGCAGGGGTGTGGTGGGCTCTGCAGGCTGTTGGACAGTTCGAGGGAGTTGTTAGAGGGGCTCATGAAGTGGGATGCTTGTATCTGTGTGTAGGTTCTTGAGCCTCAGGGTCTTTATTATTTTTTCTTTTTTGTTTTTAGTACCGGGGATCAAACTTGGGACCTTTGCGCTTGCAAGGCAGGTGGCGGAACCACTGAGGTAAATCCCTGGCCCTTAGGGTCTTTGTTATAAAGGCAGTGGACGTGAGCAAAGATTTTTAGGCAGAAGAGTAGGGTGAGATCAGACCTGGCTTTCCAGAGGATTTTCTTAGGATGGACAGAAAGAACAGAAGTTGGATTGAGGGAGATGGAGGTTGATGTAGTAGCTGCTGCCCCAGGTTGAGGTCTTGCCCAGTTGATTGATTCTCATTTTCTGGCATGTCTTTCCCCTGGCGGGCTCCTCTCATCCTTCAGCCCCTCCCCAGTGGACACTCAGTCTAGTGCTGCTCCTTCCGCACTGTCACCTGTGCTGTATGGACCCTTTGGTCCCTGGCGTGCAAGCAGGGCCTGTCTGTCGCTGTGTCGTTGCCCTCTGAAAGTCCTCCCTACGTGTGCAGTGTGAGTGAGTGGCCAGGTGTGCGGTGCTGTAGGCTCAGCTGGTGTGGCAGTCGCAGGGCTGGAAAGGGTGGGAGCCTGGGAAAGGGGAGCCAAGGTCATTTCTGAGATGTTTAATTTTGTTTAACTGAATTAATGCTGCCCTTGACTGGTACTTGTGCTGTTTCAGTTGGGTGGCCCGTGCTCTTTCCCAGTGAGCTGGGATATTTGCCAGACGCACTGGCCACTTCTGCCGAGCTATGTGGTGTGGGACAGCAGCGTTGTTTTGCTCAGTGTGGGTTGCTTTTCCTTTTGTGTTGGGCAAGTTGTTTTGCTAGCTATCATTTCCCTCTTTTAAAGTCTCTGGTGTAGCTGCTGCTCTTCCTTTTCACATTTCCCCCTTGTCTAATGCTCGCTTTTTCTGTATTACAGGAAAAATGAAATTTCGGTTGAGATTACAGGACTGAGGGTTATTGATCTTGCACTTACGTGCCAGCCTCCTGACTCATTACCCATGTGGTAGGTGGGACCTGAGGCTTGATCACAATGACCTTGGTATGTCCTTTGTGCTGAGGGTAATGGGGTGGGGGGGATTTCTCTCATTTCTGGGACTTTTTTCAAACCTTACCCCTTCCTCGGGAACGTGGTGTGGTACAGGGGCAGACACATGTTAAAACGCATGATGCATGCATGTATTGGAGGGACTGGTAGCTGTATTTGTGTTGACAAGTGTTTTAAAACCAGGTGGTCCCTTCCCAGGAGTTGGCTGAGGGCTGGGCTGGTGGACTATGTCATTGGGGGAGCTGGATCTGGGCATGGAGTGAAGTGAAGCAGATGGGGACCTGGGAAGCCTGGGACTGAGGCAGAGCTTCTGAGTGCCTCCATATGCTGCCCAGTGGTGGGCTGTGGAGCCTATCAGGGGTGACCTAGGGAAGCCAGCCTGCCTCTTCCGGCGAGTGGCCTGTCCTGAGAGGTTTGTAGATTGAAGAGGAGAGGGCCACTTTGGTCACATGGTTCCACATACTTCCTGGTTTCACTTTTTATAGGAAGCAGCCAGCTCTCCTGGTCTTTGATTACCACATAGAACAAAATAAACCCACGTATATGCATCTCTGTGGTTTAATTTAGAATAAGAAAACTAAATATAGGCTCTGCTTTTCTTTTCCATGCCCCATAACTCTCTTTTTGGGGGCAAGTAGTTGTGCTTTTAGAGAGGTTAATAGTGATGTGTCAAGGGGAGGTCCTCTTTGTAATGGGAACGTTTCACCTTCTCAGGGTTAAGTTAACCTTGTGACAGTCACATATGCCACAGTTTGCAGCCCTTTGGGTCAATTGAGGTAAGAGAAATTGCATTTTCATTTTCATTTCTTTTGGTTTATTTTGCTCCTTATTCCCAAATGCCCCAAAGCACCAGTTAAAAGGAGCACTGTTTGCTTCTTAAGAGTTGACTTTGGATCAGGTGTAGCCAACCTGGCAAACGGGTCAGGCTCGGCAGAGGTCATGATTGCTATGGTGTTTTGCTTTGGCAGGTGAGTATCCACCTCATTTCCGGATTCAGTTTGTAGAGACTCGTGCAGGTGAGGCGCATGCAGTATTCTGTGAGGTTAACTCATCTACATTGGAGTTGCCTCAGGGAAGCCTGTGGCCTAGCGCTTGTCCTTTAGGCTGGGAATTGAAAATTCTGAATTCTGTACTCATCTTTATTTGTCTAGGTTTTTAAACAAGCTATACGGTTGTGCCTGGCATGATACCTGGCAGTAGTCTTTCATCATTTGTCTCAGCAGTCTAGGTCAGCCAGCTAACTGGAGAAATAGGGTAAGGAATTGTAAAAAACAAAGGGCCGGGGATTTAGCTCAGTGGTTCTGCCGTCTGCCTCGAAAGCACAAGGTCCTGAGTTTGATCCCCGGTACCAAAAACAAACAAAAAACCCAAATATATAGGTTAGGCATTTTATTTTTGTAACTAAATTAAAAAAAAATTTTTTTTGAGATGGAGTCTTGTCTTGTTCAGGCTGGTCTTGAACTGGTAGGCTTAAGAGTCCTCTTCATCCTCCTCAGTAGCTGAGACAACAGGTGTGTGCCACCACACCAGGCTGGCATTTTTAAAAATTTCATGAAAAAAGTAACACGAAATTGCATAACAAGACTAATAAGAAAACAATAGTTAATATCTGTCTATGGTTGTCTTCAAAGTAGTTACTCAGCATACAAGACATCCACAAAAAGATTCTTACAAAGAAGAAACAAACATAAAAAAAAAAGAGAAGAAGAAACAAACATATTAGCACAAAACTTTTTTTTCCCATTAAGTTTATTGGTACATTTTAGGGTATTCAATACAGTTACATTCATCATTGGGAGCTTGAACCTTTATATGATGTATCTTCGTTCTTATGTTTTCCCCATTCTCCTGCCCTCCCTTCAACCCCACAAAACTTCCTTTTTAATGAACTAAGAAACTAGAAGTATAAATGAAACAAATTAGCATATATATTAAATATTTTTGAAACAATGGAATAGCTAATTTGGGGAACCATGCCATTTTATTTTTAACTTAAAAAATACTGATGTAGGTCCAGGGATTTAGCTCAGTGGTTCTGGCTCCTGCCTTGCAACCAAAAGGTCTCAAGTTCGATCCCCGGTACCAAAAAAAAAAAAACAACTGACGTACTGTTATGTGTCAATCTTTTCCTTGTCCTTTTTTTTTTTTTTTTTCCAGTGCTGAGAATTGAACCCAGGCAAGTGGTCTACCCCTGAGCCACACACCCCTAGTTTCACTGGTCTTTCTTTTACTTCCACTCTGCTGATAGAACTGCCAGCTATTTATTCCAGCTCACATAAGCCACACTCATAATTTGTTGTCCTCAATATCTGGTTTTTGCTTGAAGATGATTGAAAGTGCAGCCAAAGAGGTCCTAAAATTGGTGCTACTACTCTGGGTGAGCCCCCAGCCTAGTGGGCAGTGAGAGTATTCAAATGCCTTCACCACAAGTTTGGCAGCTGGTGTGCCTTGAGAGAGGGCGTGTACTCCCAGCAGGGAGAGATCAGAGAGTCATGGTATAGGAGACATTTGAACCAGACTATTAGTTTCTTTCTGTGTTTAGTTGACTATTTTTATGTTTGGTTAAATATTTATATTTTTCTGAGAAAAGAGATGTAAACAGATGGAGTTATCCTTTGGGCCTTGGGTAGTAATAAGAAAAGCTGAAATCTTTGGAAGTTTCTGTATTTAGGTCCTTAGTAGAGGCATAGACTGGTTCTTCTGAGTGACAAAGCTCCCCAATTCTGCTGTCTGCTCTGCTGCAGGAAAATTGGTCAAGAGGGATGCATTTCTGCCAGACTACAGTATACTGTCAGTGTTCTCTGGTTGTAAACTAACCTGAGCATAAAAGCTGTTCTTTGGAAGGCACTGGGTGGAGAGACCTCACAGACACAGGAGACTTGAAAAGGAGCCACTGGAGGGACCATTGGTTCCAAAGGATGGGGGACTCCCTAGGCCTATCTGGAATGCTGTTGTCAGGAGGAGGAGGAATGGTACTGGGCAAGGAGTAGCTCATTTGGAAATGCTTTGTAGAGTACATGGAATGGGAAATCCAACAACCAAGGGTCAGGCTGTACCCAGAATGCAAATACTGTAAAACTTGGCATGGTATCTTAGGTGATTTTAATTTCTAAAGTTTTTCTTTTTCTTTTTTTTTTTTTTTTTGAGGCAGGGTCTCCCTTTGCAGTTCAGGCTGGCCCTGAACTCACTATGTAGCCAAGGGTGGCCTCGAACTCATGGGCGATCCTCCTGCCTCAGCCTCCCACGTGCTGGGATTATAGGCATTCACCGCCACGCCCAGCTTGAATTTTTATAGTTTAAAGAGCATAGCACATCATTTGTCCATTCATAGAAACTCCAAAAATGTTGCCAGCCTGTGTCCCTGAAGTTACTGTCAGTATGCGCATGGAAACCTTCCTGAGTTCTGCCTATGTGGGTGGTTGCGTTCGGTTTTGGTAACACCATATGGGAGCTGGGAGTCCCCCTTTGCAGTCGGTCAGTGGGACAAGGCTGGTCTCTTGGCTCCATGAACAACTGGATGTGGGCCTTATGCTCTTCTTTTGTTGTATGTAAACAAAGGCTGTTTGTAGTATTTCTTATTAGATTTGTCAAAGTTACAGATTACTGCATTTGCTGGCATATGCTCCTGCCAAGTGAAACAAAAAGATGTATAAACAGTAAGGTGGCAATAAGCCTCCAGTCGCAAGGCTGAGACAAGCCAACCTTGACTATTTTGGTATAGCAGAACTATGCACATCTTTCTCCTGACTCTCACCAACAGAAACACATGCTTTTAAAAAAGAGGAAGCTACAGTAGGCATCACTCAGCAACTTGCTGATTCCACTTCCTTTCGAGCTTACCACATGCATGAATTTAAGATTGCCTGAGAACAGAGATGGAAAAAAATGCTTGGCATGTTGCAGGTGTGGATTGTTGAATGAGTGAGTGGAGTGGATGAATAAATGCCATCCATCCTCCAGATCTAGTGCCAGTTTGGTAGTTTTTAGTGGCTAATGCCATATCAAATTGCTTCTGCCTTTTTGTGGACTTGTCCCAGCAATATATGAACACACCCTTTTCTGGGCATTTCCGCCTGCAGTAGATGTTGTATGGCTTTGGGCTGATCCTGATGAGTGAAAATATTCCATTATAATTTTAATTAATGTTTTCCTGAGTACTAGTAAAATTGAGCATCATTTTACATGTTTATGGATCATTTGTATTTCTTCTTCTAGAATTGCATATTCATATTCTTCATTCTTTTTTCCCCCCATCGGATTGTTTTTCCATTTTTAGGAATTCTTTGAATGTGAGGGTTTTTTTTTTAATGTTAGGGTTCTAAATCATTTGTTGCATGCAAATATGTCCTCCAGCTATTGTTTCCATAAGTTTTTGTCTAGATGTCTTTTGCCATAAGATTTTTATGTAGTCAAATCCTGCCCCCAAATGTTTGCATTTCTAGTTCTACCCATGGGTCTGGAGAAAAAAATATAGGTCAGTTACATGTGCGTGTGTATTTATGCACGTCTCTGTGTGTATATATTTGCAACATTTCTAAATATATTTCTAAGTAGAAAATGAATATTACAGCATATTAAAAGATTAATTCTCTATGACCAGACAAAATTCTAGAGGTACAACAAGGACAGCCTAACCCAAGGAATTGTGTCTGCCTGAGGAAGTTCTGGCTCAGAATGTTAGAAGCATTGTTCCCTATCCCTGCCATCCAGTAATTCTCTGACTGGCTGATTGGTGTAGTTTCCCTGAACATTAACGTCCTTATCCATAAAACTGGCAGGACGAGACTAGTATTACTGTGTAGGGTTGAAGTAAGGACTGAATGGGAGCTTCCTATAAAGTGGTTAGGACAGGGCAAGGAACATAGTAAGTGCCTAATTAATGTTACAAAAATAATTTACAACATCAAATTACAAAGAAGACCTATATGACCATATTAACAGATGTCTGGCAGGCATATAATAAAATTCTGCAGATAGTCCTAATAAAAGTAAGTAAAATAGTTGTAGAATAAATCTGTATCAATGTAGAAATATTTACCAAACCTGGCAGCAGCATATGAGGTGAGCATTCCATTATACTTGAAGTATTACAGGGAGTCCTGCGTGCAGCTCTGTTGCCCCAAATCTGTGAAGCCCTTGGCGATACTGGGGACTTGTCAGGGATTATTATGGGAAGAGGGGTCAGGAGGAGGCCTCGGCTCCCTGGGTGCTACTTCTGCTCTGAATGGAGCTGGTTGACTGTGTGCTCCCTGAGGCCTGTTCTTCCCGTTGGCCTTTTGTGGATGTGGCTGCTGACTGTTCTCTGTGGGAACCAGGAGTTCCTGAGGTTGGGCAGGGAAGGGGACTATTAAGGTGATAAGACACTTAAAGGTGGCTGTAGTGGCTTTGTCCTGGGGAGCATTGAAAATCAGAACTAGGGTGACATGTAGAGCCTTGAGGGGCTCTCGGATCAGCCACAGATGGGTCAGCATGGCAGTTGCCCTCTTTTCTTCCCTGTAGGCGAGGAATTCACACGGGCATAATTTCAAAACTCCTTTCCTCTTCTGCATGCAAAACAAATCCACAGATGTTTTCAGAATGAGAGAGAGAAGGAAGTCCTGAAAGCTCCCAACCCTGAAGGGCTTAACGTCATTCTGGACCTTCTGGACTAGCATGGAAAGCCATGGGGTGCGGTGGCAGTCTGTGTGAGTTTCGGCACTGGCCTACTTTTGGCTTGGCATTTGCTATACACCTATGTTTTCTTTCCTGTGTATCTCATCAACCTCTAATCTAGAAG